AAAACTGTACACAACACAAAGCCGAAACGCAGCCCGATTTATCTCACCAGCCCTATCAACGACTACAAATGCCAAACATCTCAAAGCAGAACATTATATTAATGGCATTTTACATAGTACACAGTGGGATGAGGGAGACTTGCAGATCACACAGCAACCGCACGTACTAGCAAAGGAAAAACCTGGCTGGAGCTCCAGAAACTCTGGTTCTCTTCCTGGGTGAGCAAACAGCCTGCTGAGCGATTTTCAGCAAGCTAGTTCACTTCTGTTTGCCTCTTTTTTTTCCAGCTGTAAAACGTGAAGGCTGCTATCACGCACGTACTTGCTTTATCTGACCACTCCTAAAAACCTGTGGAAACCTGAGAGCAGTAAGCACTTGTACAGTGTTTTGTGATACCTAAAGCAGTGCTAGCCGTTAAAAATACTGTGCCAAGGTGCAATTTCTAGCAATGAATAATCGGTGCTGATCAGACAGAGAAAAGTCAGTTACAAGATTTGCCAGCTTGTATTGCCTTTCCCCAGATGGTCCCAGTGAAGAATTGGTAGCAAATCACATTTCATCTAGGCATTAGAATTCCCTAAATTTGCAGTAACATCAGATACTTTGGGAGATAATTTTTTCTTGCAGTATCTTTCCTTCCCACATAATTGAATGGTGACATCTATGCTGCTTATCTCTTAGTTGACCTTGTTTTTCAGGTTTTTTTTTCTACCTGTCTCATCAATTATTTTTTCCTTATCACTCCTAGTACAGGACACAAAAATGTATCAGCACTTTCTTCAGTGGTTGCATACAAACAATGTCTAAAATTTGGACAAGATCTATCAATTTACTACTCCATTAATTCCTACAATGACCTATTGATATTCTAAATATGACAACATGCAATTTCTGAATATTCTGATGCTACTTACAAGCACTTCATGAGATATATTTATATATAAGCAAATTACTGATCTCAAGCTATATATTAAGTAAAGGCACACCTTATTCTTTCTCATGCAGCTACCTCACCAGGCAGTAAAACCCACAAGATTCAGGTGGTGAGAGAAAACAAGAGAAAAGCCTGACTCTAGATACTAAGCCCGTTATTGAATGTAGCTCTAGGTCTTGTTTCAGGGAATAAAAAACAGAGTAAATCATACTTTGATGGCCGTTGCCTTCACCACTTACAAGGACATTTGCAAATTAAGGTTCATAGACCTACCTGATGAAAGCCCACTGCTTCATTAAAGGAGCAAATGACATCTTTCATAAAAATAGCATCTCCTCAAAACTTCATGCTTCATGACCTTAAGAATGGCAAAATGGCAATGATGATTACACCACTTCTTGAAATACATACAGCCATATACTGAACTACAATGAAAGACTTAGCAAAGTCCTATGAATACAGGAAAAGCCCTTGATCCCCAAATACTTCCTCTTTCAGGTATAAAAGACAGAGATCACACTGGTTCACTCACCAGTGGCAACCTACATGGTAAGTACACAGAACCGGTGTAATTCTCAAACTGAAGACAAGGGTTTATGAACCACCCGGGCTGAACGACCGCATTTGCTGCACACAAGCCTGAATGTGTGTAACTTGTAGTAACGTCCCTGGACTAGTGTGAAACAAAAGTACCAGTGTGGCGCTTCCAACAGTCAGGGCTTTGCAAAATCTAAAGGCTTATTTTCTGGGAGTTGAATAAATGAGATAAATGCTGACTTGAACACAGGGGAAGAAGTACCTCTGCTAGGACGTGTTCGCTGTGCAAATTAATTCCTGAGGATTTTTTTTGAATTCCGCTGAATTCTTGACCTTCCTGTCTTAGCTCTGATACTATTCTTCTACACTCTCAATGCAAAACAAAAAGTTCACAGCCCCCACATTGCTGATAACATTCTGTTGCTCAGCTTCAGTAGTTAGGTCCTTTTACTGGATAATGTATTTCTCCTTAATTGATGGATGTTCTCTTCATTAATCTTTTCCATTGATTCAGCAACTAAACATCAACAAGGTGGCATCAATTTTTCACAGTAAATGTTAATATTTTACAACCTTTATCTCATACTTGCTCACCACACAGCCTCTTTAGGGCAAGGACCAGCTTATGCATAACATAAAACCTTCTTAGAAATTACAGCAGAAAATAATTCCCCTTAAACAGTTTATTCAGGCAGTTATGTATTAGGGGAAAAAAAAAGAGAATGCATTGTGAAATCAAAATTCAAGGAGTACAAGGAGTTGTGTAAGAAAATAAGGAACGTGTTTAGCTGCATGGTGGAAGTGTCAAGACTTTCTATGCAGAAATAAAAAACTTATTTCCAAAATTACAATGAAAACCAACCTCTAATCTTCAGGCTTCATATAATCTATATGCTTCATATTTGATCTCAAAACTGGGTAAAGCAGAAAAAAGTCCTGAAGTGTGGTAGGTATCACATGCTTTATAGTGCAAAAGCTTAAAAAATACCCTCTGAAAATAATTACAATAACTGCTTAAAATGACACTACTTGGATAAAATATTAATCAGCTGAAATAAAATTCCATTTATGGAAAAAGTGACAGCCTCATGTACAGACTACTTAACAATTTAGCAGCGTGTCTGAAGAGATGCTGGTGTAATGGGGTTCAGACACACATGGGATTTCTAGCTCCTGTTGCATTAGCAGACAGGAGCATTTTAGCTTTAGTAGAGCACCAAGCCAGCCGTTATTAATGAAGCTGTCTAATGGTCTGAGACTTAGCCACACATGAAAACCCAACAACAGATACTTCTGCGCCCCACGAAAGCTAATTTTTCAGGACCGTCACTGCATGACATTTAACCGTTTAAAAGTAAGCTGGTAGTTAACTCACACAGTTGATTTCCCTGCAGTTCTGCACAGCATTGCACTGAAGATTTTAAACAGAAAAGATTTTCATTATCTAACCAAAATGCAGTACATTCAGCTTCCTTATTCTGACTGAACTCAGAAGATTTAATAAGCAATTTATTTAATTCCTGTACAGCAGACACAGGACCAGCTGCTGCTAACACATCCACTAAGTTTGTTCATTTTCTTCCTTAAAGGCTGTTCACTTCGAAAGACTTTCTATTGCAAAGACGACCTCCAAAGGTGACACTAACGTTGTTTACTGTCTCTAAACTCAAACAATAGGACGTTCAGGTAGTACAAGGCCTCGCCTTCAAGGAGCTGGGATGAGAAATCTGTTAAAGTGAAGGAAACCTTGAAAGTGAAAATCCCTGGAAGAAAATAACGTAGAAAGATAAAGGAAGAAAATGTGGGAAAGTGACAAATTAAATGCAGAATGTGGTCCTAAGAGATGACAATGCCCTGATTTTTCCGGCGATCTTGTTGATGTATATACTGCACGTGGGCCTAGCTTTATAATCTAGTCTGTTGGCCAGGAAGGAACTCAACCCAAAGGTCCTAAGAAGACAGAACCATGAAGTCGCCCCATACTTCTGCCAGGTCGTAACACCACTAGCAATGCTGATGCAAAATAAGCTAAATAAGAGGTATGTTACATTGGTTAATTTTACATAGGATCAGAGTTAGCATTCAAACTACGTAATTTGATGTCAGCTCCAAGGGGCAGGGAAGAAAAGAGGCTTATGGAAAGAGAGATAATTATCAGGAGAAAAAAAAGATACCTCCTTTTAAATAATGCCAGCCTACACTGTTGATGGAAACTAGTTCTTGTCAAGCTAATTATTGAGATTCAAGACAATCACAAGTTCAGCTGACAAAATTAATCATTGCCTGAAGCTATGGGGAATTTTCCTTTGCTCTTGATGACATTCAGGCAAAAGAAAAAAGCAAAAGTACAACAGCATTTACAAATAGAGTAAACTGGGACTTACGGTCTGCTTGAGTCATCCTTAGTGAGATTCTACTAAAATTTTTCTTTGCCCTGTTTATTAAAAAATTAAAAGAGGGCTTTTGTTCATTTTTAGAAGACAAGCTAGGATTTAGAGTATTTAGATTAGACAGCAAACTGGGCTGTATGTTTATCTCAAGCATGTACCATCATTCATCGAGCAATACAGGTCTATTTTACAAGACAGTGAACCTGGAAGTCTTTGGGGTGGGCCAAAAATTTTGTATGAACTCTTTAGAGCATATATAGTTAAATAGCCTAATAGCAGTACAATGAAAAATTTTGCAACTATGTAATTAGTTTCTATAAACAAAGCAAAGAAATTCTGCCTTAGTTCTCGGCCAATCTCATTTCGGGGCTCTGTTGAACGCGTACAGAACACACTGATGCTATACATGGGAAGCAGCAGCACACGTGGCACGAACCCAGCTAACACCGCTCGCTCCACATCTCTGAGACCACTGATCATGCTAAGGAACCACCTCAGCTGGGCCCCTCCTGCCAGCGGTTTCTTCCTACACATCCTTCCCAGTACACTAGTGCCCAGAGAGTATTTTTTTTTCCAGTGGATGTGAAAACTTAAAAATGCCTGTCTTAAGTAAATCTCACATATTTCCTGCTTTATTCATCTTACTTAAATAACTGCAAATCTGTTATGCCAACATGCCTGTCAGACTAAGCTACAGTCCAATTCCTTAAGAATTTTAGGCCAGAGGAATACCATTTCCAGCATACCTATCAGCAAGAGACAAATCTGGTGAAAAATATGAAGTTTAACTTGCCCCACCCACTACCTTTGTGTCATTGCTGCTTTGCAGCATCAATTTGTTTAATAACCACTATGAAAACAGTTAAGGAGCATTGCAGCAGAAGTCTAATTGTCCAACTTTCTTGAAATCTGAATTTTCAAGAAGCAAAAGGACCCTAAAATGACATATCACAAAGGAAAGATTTTTTTAAAAACACAAGGAATTCTTCATGAGCTATCAAATATCTTAATTGTTTGGACAGCTAAGGGCTGAGAACAAAAATATTGCTACTGATGCACTGAAGGCCATCAAGTATTTTAAGTTTACATACTTGAATTAAGAGACACACACACAGAAAAAACCCAGAGACATGCTTAAGGGGAGGCCAAATTATTTTATTTAATTTTTTAGTGACCAATTGGATTTTTGGCAGAAAGCTCTGCTCTTTTTTCTTTTTTTTTTTTTTTTACCATTTTTGTTAAAGAAATCAGCAGTGCTCAAATTGATGGGTTGGAATTTTACTCAAATTCCAGTTAATTTTAAAAACAAACAGATGAACAGGAATTCCAGATACTGTTTCCAGAGCAGAGAGCAAAACTTCACATTTGTATGAAAATTCCATGTTTATACTCCATTGGGACACAGAATGTAAAACTATTGTCAGTAGTGCATGAGTAAAACATTCACATTTGATCTGGAACCTTAAAATCAGAAAGCCGTACTCTCCTTCCAAAATTTTCATTACCTTGTGCAAATTAAGTCAAGTCTTCATGTGTCAAGCACACACTTAAAATTGTCCATATTTTATATACAAGACATCTACCACAGAGGCAGTGCAAAATACATCCTTTCATAACAAAACTAAAATGTACCTCTCAAAGTATGAACAAGAATATACACATAATACATGATGTACATTATTTACACAACCATAAAAAATATAATACAAGGATTTTTTAAACGTGATTATAAGACTTGACAGTCTTTTGCAATTTTTGTTGCAACAAGGCATGTTTAAGTTTCCTGGATGGAGTTTTCTTTGCCAATTACTCAAGAGATGTTGGAAACTACGCTTGAACTTTTAGGAGAGTTTTCAAATGGACTGCCATCAACTCCCTGTTTTGGTCAGACGGTTCAGCTGTGCCACCCACCCAGTGGCTGGGAGGCTTTGGAAGGACACTAGGAGATGGTGGGTCACTAAATTTTGCCCCAGCGTAATTTTCTTTTTGGCTTACTTCAGTTAGGCTGATAGGTTTCTTGGACTTGGCGTTTCTGAAGTTCTCTGTGTTTTTAAGTGGCTTTTTCTCCTGCTTCTGAATTATTTCTGGAGATACAGAATCTTGCCAGAAGTTCTCTATCTTTTTTGCCGAGGTGATCTTTGTCAGCGGCACGTTACATTTACTCTTCTGCCTGTTAATCTTTGGTTGTTCACACAGATGTAAACTGTGAACGGGCTGGCTGTAGGGGATGGCAGCCTTCTCAGTCTTTCCCATCTTGTTCTTTAAGAACTGCGGAGACAAAGAATTCACGTCAACACATGACCCCTTCTCCTCAAGCGGTGCCTCCGGCAGCATACAGGCACAGTACTGCCACCGGGGCAAACGTATCGCCGCACCGGGCTCCCAAAGCACTGCACCGGAGACGCGGAGCCTAGTGCCCCGGGGGGTCGCCTCACCCGGCGGATATAACTGCCGG